AGTTTCAACAGCGGCTGAATTTGGACGCCTGGGACAGAGCAGCTGGGGCGCTGCCGGGTAGGTCCCCGCAGTGCCGCACCTCAGCGCTGCAGGGACCAACCCAGCAGCACCCCAGCTGCTCTACCCCAGGTGTCTCCAAGTCAGCTGCTGCTGAAACTGATCAGTGGCTGATTCCAGGAAGCACGGGGCAAAGCAGCTCTGCATCGGGCTTCCTGTAGTCAGCCTCTGGTCAGTTTCAGCAGTGGCTGAATCGGGGACACCTGGGGTACAATATGTACCAGTTCCGACTTACGTACAAATTCAACTTAAGAACAAACCTACAGTCCCTATCTTGTACGTAACCCGGGGACTGCCTGTATTTAATTTGATATCCAGTATGATCTAACTGCATTAAGTACTTCATACACTTAGCATTGCAGACTGTCAAGGTGGACTCTGTTTATTTTGGATAGTCCTAAGATGTTAATTGATATGGTATGTGAGGGTATGTCTACACTTGCACCCTCTTTCGAGAGAGGGATGAAATGAAGACATTCAAAATTGCAAATGAAGCTGGGATTTAAATATCCCGTGTTTCATTTGCATATTCACGTTATGTCGCTATTTCGAAATAGCGCTATTCCGAAATAACAGATGCTTTTAAGTTGCGGTTATTTCGAGAGAAAACCCTTCTCTCAAAATAACCCTTATTCCTCATACAATGAGGTTTACCAGTTATTTCGAGAGAAGGGTTTTCTCTCGAAATAACCGTGTCTTAACAGTATCTTTTATTTAAAAATAGTGCTATTTTGAAATAGCGCCATAACACAAATATGCAAATGAAGCACGGGATATTTAAAGCAAAATGCAGGATATTTAAATACCAGCTTCATTTGCAATTTCGAATGTCTTCATTTGCATCCCTCTCTCGAAAGAGGGTGCAAGTGTAGACGTGCACCAATCGTAATCAGCTCTTCACCTCTGTTTCAGAGCTTCCTCCAAAAGTCCCCCAGGAATGTTGCCATTAGGACATGTTTTCCCTTCCATAGATTGCACCCCAGAAACATGATGTTTAAAGAATGTAGCTCAGCGATGAGCAAGCAAGAGTCACATGACTGGCCTTCCTTCATCTCAGTGGGCCATAGAACGCCGAGGCCCACTGGAGTTATATCTGTGGGCCCGGGACCTCCTGTGTGCTCCACTTCCTCCCGCACATTGGGTCACCAGAGCTCTGCACTTCCTGCTCCTTCCCCTCCCTCCGAACACTTTCAAAGCACCATGAATCACTTGATTCCCGCTCCTCCCCATTCCTCCCCCAGTTGGAATGTCTGTTTGCAGAGTTCAAGCTCTGGGAGGGAGGGGGCAGAGCAAGGACAGAGCGAGAATCAGGCAATTCATGGTGCTCCAAAAGTATTGGGATGGAGAAGAATAGGAAGTGTGGGGCTCCAGTGCCCCAGTGCATAAGAGGTACGTGCGTGCGGGGGCAGATGGGGTCTATGGGCTTCAGCTTACCCACCACTGATACAGCCTGTCAAATTCAAAATTTAAATAGAGTTTAAGGTGAATTTAAATTTTGAATGTATCGTTCTGTATGCAAATGTAGGGTTTGATCCTTCCTTTTATTTATACTGGGAGCATTGTGAAACCTGAAAACCTGAAGTTTCAAAAGAGAAAGAAAAAGAAACCCAACCCCACAAGTCAGGCCCCCTAAGATAATTGATTTTCAGAATCAATATAAAAAATCATCTCAAGCTAAAAATCTCCGTATTTTCCTTGGGAGGTATTGAATCTTTAGATTTCAAGCTTTAGGTTTGCAAGCTTTCCTCAGCACTAGGAGGGTTAGAAACAAACCTTATTAAAATCTAGCAGGTAAGGCCTGTTGTTGATCGGGCAAAGTCATTTTGCCTAGATTACACTTATAGGAAAGTTCAAGAAATTAAATATATGTGATAGAGTTTTTTATTAAAGTGCTTGCAAAAGGGAAATAAAAACACTTTTAAATTTCTAGGATTTCAACTTCAAACATTATTCATTTTATTGAATAAGTACCTTCGGGTATGTCTACACTACCACCCTAGTTCGAACTAGGGTGGTAATGTAGGCAACCCGAGTTGCAAATGAAGCCCGGGATTTGAAATTTCCCGGGCTTCATTTGCAACTCCGGTTGCCTACATTACCACCCTAGTTCGAACTAGGGTGGTAGTGTAGACATAGTACATAGTAAATTTGAATCAGAAACTCTCAAATCAGAAACTCCATTACTCCTTCCATAACTAATTTGAATTATTTTGTGATTTGTAAAAGTAAAAATGTTCTTTGCACTAGAATGACAGTTAAATAGGTGACTTGATTTTAATTTTGTTGGCAAATATTTTTTATGAACTCTAATCATAATAATCATGACTTTTTTCCAATGAAAAACAAAACTAATTATTTAAACCTTTCGTCCAGCATATTCAGGTGTAAAACCTAGTGCATTTAGCTAATTTAAGTAGCAGGATTGTTTATGCAAAATTTGATATCTGTAGGTAATCACAAAGTATAATTTTATTTTACACAAACAAATCCACAAAAAGACGCCTCAAAATGTATAATAGATAAAAGCTGAGATGCTCACATAATATGATTACAGTAGATAGAGCTTTAAGGAAAATAATAAATATCATGATACTCGTAAAATAATGAGAATTGGCAACATTGCTAGTGGTGTAACCCAGTTGAATGCAGTGGAATAGCTCACAATTTATAATGGAATAAGAGAGATCAGAATGTGGACCTCAGTTTCAAATATTTATGATCAGCATGTGCATATAAAACATGAAACTGTCCAGGCTTCAGTCTTGAGAAGACTTATGCACCTGACATACACGTATGCAAAGTTAAAGTCTTTGCCAGGTCAGAGGCCAAAGTAGATATTCTGTACATATCATGCTGTTGTCATAGTGTGTGTCATTTCTTTTACCTTTTCAAAGAAATAAAATTTTGTTTACAACAATTTTAAATATTTTAAAGATATTATTGTTGCCTTTTCTTGTTTATTTTTAATTTAAAACAAAATGTACACTTTAATTATTCAGGGCCAGATTTAAAGCTGTAGTCGGTGTCCTTTCTGGAGTTACTACATGCCTTGCATTCATCAAGCCTTCTATCAACAACATCTCGTTAATGTCACTAGGTGTCCCCTGCACAGCTTTGCTTATTGCAGAGTTGAAGAGGTAAGTGTCTTTCTTCTGTGTGTGAAGCAGCCTTTCTTGGTGCTTGTTTTTTGAGGGTTTCATTATAGATACAAATATAATTTTTGAATTTTTGGGCATATCACCTTTCAAATGCATGACTCGTATACAGGCTAGGCAGAATCTCAGTCTGCGTACTAAAGGGTTCATTGCTCCCCAAGGCTACATCTACACTGCGGCACTATTTTGGGATATTGGAAGTATCCCGAAATAGCTATTCTGCATCTTTTGAGCAAGCCCGTTATTTCAAAATATAATGGTCTTGCTAGTCCAACATGCCTGTAAACCTCATTCCATGAGGAGTAAGGGCCATTTCAGAATAGTGCTCTATTTCGAAATTCGGCACTGTGTAGACTTCGCGAAATTTCAGAATAAGCTATTTCAAGGTAAGGGTGGAGTGTAGACGCACCCCTAGTGGGAACTGGGATGATAGAGAACAGACAGCTCTGACTTACACACACACGCACACACGCAAGCCCAATAGTTCTGATACACACACGCACACACCCAAGGCACAGAGGACAGGAAGAAGATGACGATAAATTCCAAGTGTAATCTAGTGCAGCCCCTGTTGTGTTGTCATGATGGTAGTGTGAGCTGGCTCTGTAAGAATAACGAATGTTATTGTTACAGAAACACATTGTGGTAATTTTTATTAATAGACATTTAAATTATGCTTCCTAGTAGGGATGTGAACGACTAGTCGACTATCCAATAAGCAAATGCTTATAGGCTAGTTGATACGCTAGTCGACTAGTCGCTCTTTCAATCAGAAAGAGGCAGCAAGGAGGGGAAAGAGGAGTGGGTGCTTCAAAGCAGCAGCGATGCATGGATCCCGGGGTCTGCTGGTATGAAATGCCGCATACAGCCCAGGGCCGTCTGGGAGGGAGTTTGGGTGAAGTATGAAGTTGTGTCCTGGGTTGGGGAACTAGGGTAACAGGGGCTTGATTTGTGACTTTGGGCAAGAGGAGGTTGTGACCTGGGTAAGGGGACAAAGGTGCAGGAGGGGGTACAGGGGTTTGGGTTGTGACCTGGGGAAGGGGATTGGGGTGCAGGATCTGGGAGGGGATATGGGTGCAGGAGGTGGGGCAAAGGGTTTGGTTTATGACCTGGGGAAGGGGATTGGGGTGCAGGATCTTGGAGAGGATATGGGGGCAGAGGGTTTGGGTTATGTGGGGCAGGGAGGCAAAAGGTTGGAGTGCCAGAGGCATTCTCTAGCTGGGAGATTTACTTGCTTGACTCCCAGCCAGCAGTCTTCCCAAGCAGACTCGCTACCTGCCCTGCCCCCATACTGGCTACAGGGGCCATGTGGTTTTTGAACAGCTATGAGCCTGAGTGAAAGGGAGGAGAGTGCTTCGCAAGAGGCCTGTTGACAACAGGCAGCTCCCATTAGCTGGAAACAGGCCAATGGGATTGTGCTGGGTGCTGGAGCAGTGCCTGAAGCTTCCCCTCCCCAGGATTCACAAGTGTTCAGAATCACGCAAGGCTGCAACAGCCAATTTTCTCCGCAGCATGCAGGGGAAAGGCAGGGCATCTGCCTGAGGCTCCCCACTGCATCCACCAGTCAGATCTGGTGGCTTCGTGGGCCAAATTCGGCCCATGAAGGGTATTTTTTGCAAAACCAGAAGCATAATTTTCTTTTTGTAGAAAGACCAACAAAGCTGATCCACACTTCATCCTAGCCAGCATATAATAAAAAGGTCCTGTCCCAAGAGACCTCATATTGCATAACTCGTATACTGAATTCTCTGATTGAATAAGTAACATTTAATGCCACAAGAAATCTAGGCTACTGAGCAAAACTAGGGGCAGGCTCCAGCACAGAATTTAATCGCTTCCCAAAATTGAGGTGAACAAATTTCATTACATTAAAAAAAAAAAAAGAGTATTCCTACTTTGCAGGCCATGCAGTGTAAGCTAATTCCTTGTACATACATTGACACCTGCTTTGGAGGGCAGAGCAGCTCAACAACAGGCCAAGCTGCTTATGGCCACAACAGATGGCTCTTTTCCCTCCCCAGCAGGTTAGTTTCCTCAATCCGCAGTCAAACTCCAGCTTAACCTAGATTGGGAATTTTATTTCTGAAGTTCAGAAGCATGCAACACCAGTTAAATTGCTCTTGTCAAAGCATTTGGAGATGTTTCAACTTTTAGGATAATATTATTTGGAACTGTAGATTACTTAAATTAGTAATGTGTAGAAAAAATCATTAACTCCCGTTTAGAAAACATATATTTATATTACATAAATGTTTTTCAATGATTGCTACCTCAAAGGACTAAGTGAAAATTTGACCCAAAATTTAGGTTTTTTTTTTTGTCTAAACAGATTTTAGATTACTTAAATTCTAAATGCAAAGAAATGTTTTGATAAAGACAGAATTTAAAAAATTCAACTAGCTTTCCCTTGTGTTCTATCAGTGTGACTGGGTCCAAATTGTATTTAACCAGTTCTTGTAAACCATACTCCAATCTGAGTATTTTTGGCAAAGCTAGTAAAAACTCCAGTGCAAAAGACTTGTAACCAGTTTCTAGTAGCTTTACCACTAACCTCTAACAATCCACTTTACCACTGCCTCTAACAATCAGAAAAAACACTCTGCATTAAAATGGTAAACATTTTACTTAAATATATTTGTTCTTTTCCTAAGGCAGAATGAGTTTAGTGGTCCCTTCCAGTTCTATGAGATAGGTATATCTCCATCTTAAAACGTGAAACACACTAAACATTTCATTTATATGGGTGTCAATTAATTAAAATCTTGATCTTAAAAACAAATTAAAAATGAAAGACTTCAAGTGTAGTTCTTGTCTGGAAAGTGACTTGCTAATAGTGACATAGGAGAGTTCCATGTTTATCATCTCCCAATCAATCTCTAAATCAATTTTTCTTAGTTTACAAGTAAAAATATAGTAATTTTAGTTTTCCCCCCTCTTCTTGTAACTGCTTACCATGCAGAACTCACCCTGATATTTGAAAGTCAAGGTGGGTATTTCTTATGCATCACCCCAAGTTAAAAAAAAGATGCTGTAATTGGCAGTTAGGTCCCTATCGTGCAAAGAGAACTGGGCAGGCAGATTCCTGAATCGTCATGGTTTTTGTGGCAGGATTAGGGCTATTGCTGATGCTTCAAGGAGAATGGATTCCAGCTCAGGCCTCTAGAACTTATTTGGCTGTAGTCCTAACAAGAGTAAAAAAAAAATGTTGTCCAATAGCTGTGCTTCAGTAATTAAGAATCCAGGAGCAGAGCTACCGAGTAAACTTAATTTTTATTTGCATAGTCTCTTTTCTGACTGTGACAACACCTCAAATTGATGGAGTAGATAGTAAGTAAAAGTTCCTCTACATATGACTTTTTCAGAATGCTTCATTGTGTGTAAAGCAGCTGCAGGCTTCTTAAAGTTGTGCAGCCTAATGTTCTGGATTACACCCCAAAGCTGAATAAAACCAAACTCTATAGTGACTGATAATGGCTTCTTCCTTTTCTTATGTCATTTTTTTAGGTGCGACAACTTGCGTGTGTACAAGCTAGGTCTCTTTTCAGGTCTTTGGTGGTTATTAGCACTTTTCTGCTGGATCAGTGACAAAGCATATTGTGAGATCTTGTCTTCATTTAACTTCCCATATTTGCACTGTGTATGGTAAGTACTGTGTGTAAACTTTGTTTCATTTAAAGAGAAATCCTTAATACAGATGTATTCACATAAGCTGTCTTCTGCATTGAATATTATTCCTTTCCCATGATGAACAGCTTTACTGGTAAAAGACTTCCAATCAGGAATGTACACACATCCCATCCACTTAATAGATTTATGTGCCCCTCAGGCCTGTTCAGTTTCTGCAGACTCTAACTTCACTTTTACTGAAAGCAAAATTTCTAGTCCTCATGAATGCTGAACCTTCCAAGTGCAAACCTATGCAATATTAGGAGTCTGAAACAGTGGGTCTGGGAGATGAGAAATCTTTCCGTCCTTAAAAAAGCCATAAAAGCAGACAGATAGTTAAGGAAGGTTAGAGCTCAGTGCCACTCCTTCATACCTATCCATATTTGAATAAAAGTCCCTTTTATTCAAGGCCATACTCTCAATATTCTCCCCCAACTCAGTGTAAGTGGCTTTTTGCAGCATATTCAAAAGTCATCAAGTTTAGATCAAGAATGCTACAATTCACTGCATATTTGTATACAGTCTCACATAACCTCATGAATAAACTAGGGAAATACAACCTACATGGAGTTACAGGCAGTCCCCGACTTACGCGGATCCGACTTATGTCGGATCCTCTCAATATTCTCCCCCAACTCAGTGTAAGTGGCTTTTTGCAGCATATTCAAAAGTCATCAAGTTTAGATCAAGAATGCTACAATTCACTGCATATTTGTATACAGTCTCACATAACCTCATGAATAAACTAGGGAAATACAACCTACATGGAGTTACAGGCAGTCCCCGACTTACGCGGATCCGACTTATGTCGGATCCGCACTTACGAACGGGGCTTTCTCGCCCCGGAGGTCGAGGTAGCGGATTGCTACC